CCTCATGTAATCCAAGTCCAGTGATCACTAAGTGTAATAGAGTAAGTAGTCTTATAAGATTACCCATATTAAATTGGAAAGTTAAAAGCTATTTTTAAACTCCATTATTATACCTTTATTTCATCAGACAACGGTTGAGGACAGAATAATCTTGACCTCTTTTCTTACATTTACTTTTCCTGTCTCCTTAAGTTTTTCTTTTTACTAGTTAACTTCAACTGATATAGAAGATTTATTACCACAAAGGGCATTAGTCTGATCAAGAATAGATATAAGTTGAAGGTAAGTAATAACCAACTTGAATTCAAGTCTTTCAACTGACAATCTCAATTATCCAACAACAGGTTTTCAACAAAGCTTATTGATTTATTTTCACCGACATTATTGTATGCCATAAAAAGATTCATTTTCATTCGACTAATTATCGACAGTGGATATCCGAATAGTCAAGTCTCTTCCGATTACATAATACCCTATTCGTTATTTGATAAAATAGATTTATAATTAAAAAATGGCGCAAGACTGAGGGCCCTGGGTTCGAATCCCGCGATCGGGATCGTGGATGCGCACTGTCAAGGAGTCCCACAATAGGACGAAACAGCCGTCCAGTGCTTCCAGGTTTTCAATGGTGGTCTAACATCAATCGATTCATGATCTCAATTAAATTTCAACTTTGTGACTGGATTGTGTAAAGCTTACCATTAGATCTGTAAATCTTGAATTCAACTCCTTATGTAATGAATGTACAATATTGATGACTTTCAAAGTAAGTTAAAAAGGCTGTCTAGTATGTTATGGTTTCCAATGATTCTCTAACATTACTTTCGTGATAATATCGTCTTCTTTCGTAAAGACATTGATAAAATATGTAGTCTTCTTAACCATACGAGTAACAAACCAAGAATATTTGGAATGCTTTTATCTTTCTTTTAATGCAACATTTTACTTCGTGAATGGCGTCTCTCGGTGTCTAGATTAACCATGGTGAATGAAATAGTCTATCGCGTTGACTAAATCATTCACATTCAGTGTTTTGTAAGCACTGGTGTTTAAATGGTTTATGGAATCAAGGAGTGGATTAGGGAAGCTTGTTTCGCTTGTATTAATTTGAGACACCCGTGGTGTGGGCTACACTTCCATCTTTTGACCAAGAGACGAGTATACTATGTGACACTTTACTGTCTTATCTTATGTCTGTGAATAACGGACTGTGAATGTAAAGGGCACTTATAAATTACTGGTGTTCAATAAGTGCCCTCGAAATATTGTTTGCGTATATTTAAACAACCGACTAAACAATACTGATTTTAGACGTACGGTGCTAAGCAGGGTTAGGTAATCGATTGTTGAGGTCGTCAGCATTCATCATTTGAGGTCACCGGGACATACGTTAAGTATATCAAACCACCACCTACATCGGAGTGTGTTGTAGAGTGGTGTAAAACTAGGTTAAAGATAGCCATAATCTGTCGATCTGACACACGTTGGTAGGTGCAAATTTATCAATTGAGGTTGTGAATAAAGTGATATAGTTTAAGATTAATCAAATATTTACATACGCATTTACTGTTTATTTAGCTCTTGATCCTAAGTTTCAAAGTAACATTAGATCCTTTATTCCTCTGTTTCTTTCTTCTTGAATCATATTTTCTATACCTCATCATTCCTACAGCACAAATACGAGTCAGGAATAGAATGTCTGGTAGCAGAAGAATGAGAAGATCAAGAAGAGGAAAACGGGAACAGAAAGTAATGAAGGAACAGTAAAGTCTGAGACAATTAATGAACATTTTGCAAATTATATATTAGAGTATGTTTTTGTATTTAACCAATATGTGGAAACTACAGTAAATTCAATCAAAATACATAAATTATCAGTCATTTTGTATTCTTTGAAAGGATTGCCCAGGACAGGGTTGGATGGAGAATGCTGGTAAGCGGCCTATGCTCCTTCACGATGAGTAACAGGCGTAAGTAAGTAAGTTTGTATTCTTTACTTGTATATTCCCGTCGTTATTTAGGACTGGAATTGATTAGTCTCTTATTATTGGCCTATGTGCATACTGTGCGTATTGCCTCGATATAGCCTTAATTCACAAACATTCTAAACAAAGATAGATAGTGACTAGCAGTGGAATCTAGTTTGAGCGCGTTTTGTCCTATTTGGGATTGGTCAGCTGAATGTATCTGCATCTCAGAGTTGATGTTCACTCCGGGACTCGAACTCAGTACCGTTCACTTCAAACGTCAGCTGACGAGATGAAACTAGGACTAAAAAAGCATCTTGGATTCCACAGCTAGCCAATATCCATCTTTGCTTTTAGTAGTTACATTGTTTAAATAGAACAATTTACTTTCGTTTTGTTACTATCTCCTTTGAATGACTAGTTTAGTTTGTATAAATGGATCATGATATTTAATTCAACAACAATTAACTACTAAATAGACTACTTAAATTAAACTTATCCAATTCAATTAACTTTGTATAATTATGAAACAATGTCAGTCATCAGTTCTTGTAAACTAAGTGATAATGAGGTATCAGTCTTCAAATTTGTTATTTTTTAATCTTTTGTTATGATCCATAAATATAGTGGAAAATGTACATTAGAAGAACTGCGAGAAGAGTACATGTTCACATTTCCGAGCATCTCCCAAAGAAATCGAGCGACTACGATGATCAAGGGTCCTAACGGTGCAATAGCTTAGCATTTCATTGACACCGGACATATCATTGACAATCGTCAAGCTTTTGAGATTATTAGAAGACAATGAGACATTGCTTCTCTTTGGTTAGCTGAAGCATTTGCAATAAAAAAACTCAAATCTGATCTATGTAAGGATGGCAAATCAATTGATGAAGTAGTCAAACTGAATCAGTTGAGATCGCTGGGACATGCCCGACCACCGACTGCCCCGACCTGAGATGTTTTACGGTGTAGAAGTAGGTTGGAAGAAAGGTAGGTACGGCCAGACCAAAAAATGGCACAAATTCATGAAGTCACTGACAAGTGGACTGAGCCATGTTGGTAGGTATAGACTACCTGGTTGGGATCCGCGAGACGATGGCAACCGATGGTCAGAGGCCCTGAACTACATGGCTCAAAATCGTTTGCGATGACGTAGGTGCATCCATTCTTTGTAATCTTTCAAACTCTAATCTTCTGAATTCTTCATGTCCTTTTTTTCTTTCCAAATCTATTCCACTGGATTATACTCCTTAAATAACATCATCAAACCCTTATGTTCCCTAACACTATTTATCCTTTTACTACCTCTACCACTAAGAGAATTGAATCGATAACTGAATCTCTGTGGTAATGTGGTATGGCAACTGGAACTGATGTACGTACATACGAAGTTCCACGTAGTTACTGACTGACTGAGTGATCTATGTATTCAAAAAGAGACAGTAGTAAATCTATTACTACCTTGGTAATTCAATTTTTGGGTTATTAATTTTATTTTGTTGACGTTTAGTTTGTTATATTGCTCTTTCATTACCTAATTCTTACTTTATGTACATTTAACCAATCAACCCACTCCTTCATTCATACATTTCCACTCACTCAATTCTCTTAAATTATGTAAAGTCTTCAAATACTGTCTAATTATTACGTAACTCATCTTACCAGATTTCTAATTCCAGGAATCTTGTACAAACATTGTTTCTGAACTTCACTCATTTATATGTAACATCACCCACTCCTGATGTCTTTTGATTCTAACACCAAATGACCACTGACCTGTTTCTGCATATATTTATATATATATATAGAGAGAGATGATCATTGTCATTCTAATTCTTTACATTCATATATGTCAATTATTTCACAATATATCTTACCTCGCTTTTCACTTTCAATACACATCAATGGTTGTAAGAAGTTGATGATGAGAAACTATCAAAATATAATGAATCCATATTATTCTACATTCATGTTTGTCCTGGCATTTCTTTTTTTTTTGGATTGAGTTTTATTCTCTAATCTGGATGGTTTAGTCTTGAAACTTTCATCATTCTTCTGATCGACATCATCAGAACAAACTTCATGACCAAAGAACAAAACTCCATCAAAATCATCCAACTGAACTACAAATCTTCTTCACTATTTTAAAATTGTGGTACCTACTACTTATATTGATATAAGTAGTATATAACACGAGTCAGAAATGTAATGTCTGGCAGCAGAAGATGGGGAAGATCAAGAAAGGAAGAACGGGAATAGAAAGCAATTAGTATGGAAATGAAAGAACAATGAGGTCTATGATAATTATCGGACACTTTACAAATTAAGTATTATAATATAGTCACAATTGATTGATCACTGGGTGGTGACGAATGTCATGCGTGTCTAGTCCTTACTATTAGTGCAGATCGAATGCTATCGACCATATTGCAATGTGGCCACTAGTCTAGGTGACTAGACACTGCAGATACTATTGTGAGATTAGATGGTGGTTGGAGGGAGCACCAGTTCCCTCAAAGAATACAGGTACACCTTGCTGATGAGTGCCAAGTAGCACGAAACCTGGGTTCAGGGTTTCCTGTCAACTACCACCAACCACCATCTAATTATAGTATAGTTTTTCTATTTTACCAAGTAACTCTGTAATTTTGTGCTATCTATAATTCGGTTGTCTTCATCTGTGTTCTCCTTCACTATAAAATCATTATTCTAGTTTTATTGAACTTCATAAAATGAAACTAATTCTATAAAAGAATGACATTTATAATCATGTTTTCTTGATCAGCTCTTTATTAAATAATAAAATAAATTACAAGAAAGATCAAAAAAAACAAAAGAAAAGAACAAAAAAAACAAAAAGAACAAAAAGAAAAAGAAAAACAAAGAGAAAAAAACAGAATAAAAGATAAAATCATTTTTATACATAAATATTTAAAAATTATATTAAAAGAATAATAATCTATTTAATGAATGACATCTTAGGGTTGTTTATCTTATTTGTCTTGTTGATTTTTATAATGTAGTTTCATTTTAATTAATAAATAATGAATTTTGTTTATTGATAAAATTTGACATGTTTGAATGATCTTCAAGACTATGTTCTTCAACTTGATGATGAAGTACTGTCATTTCATCGGTAAATTCCTATAAAGTCAATAAGATAGATTATTGAAGAATGATGAATATTTATAATAATTATGTAATGAACAAATGTGAAAATATAGACAAGAGGGATAGCTTTATCTACAAGTTGATATTAGTTGAGGTACTATTTAAAGCCAAAAAAGAATATCAGGTTTTCTTGTGAATATTGTGAGTCAATTGAAGCTAGACCAACATGGAAAACCTGGAAGCAATAGACGGTCGTTTCGTCCTATTACGCGACTGTCGATTAGTGTATCCCCACGATTCCACCCGTGACACTTGAACCTCGGACCTTTAGGTTTCACTATTGGGTGCCAGCTCAGTGGTGTAGTGGCTAGGTGTTCGCGTACGAGACATTAACAACGTTGGAGTTTAAGCGTCCGTGCGCGAGATCGATAGCTCATGAGTTCAAATTCAGCGAGCAACATCGTGGATGAGCACTGATGAGGAGGCTTATACTGAGACGAAACGATCATCCAATGCTTTGAGTTGTTCCATGGTGGTCTATCTTTAATTGACTCATATTCTCAACTATTGAAATTAGTATAATATCCACAAAAAACTCCCTTCTGATGATAATGGTAATACTTTACTAGTAAAGGTTATTTACAGTTTTACCGCATTAAATATTATTTTATAATCGTTATCGTTAAACGATTTTGGATTATGTCAAATGTTCGATCACCTTTAAATTTCAAACTTAAATAGAGGTTTTCTCTTTGGAATGAAACAACTAGATTTCTTGAAATGGCCAGCAGACCAACTCCTACACCTGGGTTCATTTATAAACAGAATGATAAATTTTGATTGAGATCATAAATCAACGGATGTTAGACCACCGTTGGAAACCTGGAAGCACTGAACGGTCATTTCATCCTAATATGGGACTCCTCAGTAGTGCTCATCCTGAATCCCGCTCGCAGGATTCGAACCCAGAGCCTTCAGTCTAACATCATTCGATTCATGATCTCAATCAAAAAACTTAATAATCTCCACAACCCCAATAATGAGAATGATAAATCTTATTTACTCTTTATGTCATCGATTACATCGAATATACGATAGGGAATGTAATAAAGAACAACTTGTATTCTTCAGGGAAACTTTAACGAGAAATGGCTATCCATATCGCTTCACAGATAAGAATATGAATTGAAGGTAAAGATAATAAAACTATGAATTGTTTATTAGTTACCTTTGTTATAACTTACTTTTAAACAAAGATGACATATTTTTGATGCTTTATAACTATCCAATTTTGATGCAATTTCATATGGTAATAATCTAAGAACAGGATGTGAATGTAATAAATATATACAATTTGTAGTTTGTTGAAATTGTGTACATTTTTCATTAAATTGATTATATTCATTTGATATAATGGATTCATTGATTTTGTTACATTTAATTTGATCTGATGTTACCATATCAACTAATTTGTTATGTGTTAGTCCATGTGTTTCATTATTTTCTTGAAACTGTAATGATAATAATAATAATAATAATAATAATAATAATAATGATTAGGATTGATTTATATTATGAACTAATGTAAGCTAATAAAATTGTTTATGTTCAGGTTAGATATTAACACCATTGAATGCCAGCACAGTGGTCTAGAGGGTAAGCGTTCACGTGAGAGACCGGTAAGTCCTGAGTTCGAATCATGCGAGACAGGATAGTGGACACGTGAAACTGAGGAGTCCCACAAGAGAATGAAACGGCCGTTCAGTGCTTTTAAATTTACAATCTTGATCTAACATCGATCGATTCATGATCTTAATCACAAACTTCATAATCTCCACAATCCCTATACTGATAGTTATCCGATTAGTTTGCTTAGTGCTTAACGATTTGCTAACTGTTCATGCATAAAATTGGTTTGCTGGTTAACCAATTTCATTCATACTGGTGGTTACTTTTCAATGTTTTCAAGGGCCATTGTCATTGGGACATTGTAAGGTATGTTGCCACTGCTAACATTAATGAGTTTGTCCGTTAAGTAAGGGGAATAGGTCAACTTTAACCCGTTCTTGCTGTGCATAATTTATTCACGCGATCATTGATCGGAATAACTATACATGTGATGTGAATGTATATATGAATGATGCGAATGATCCATCAGAGTGCTTGGTACCTCAGGATTGAGCTGTCCTATTCAGATTGTAGTGGTGCCTGGTTTACCTGTGAAGCGGGATTAAGCTGTAATGTTGTGTTGTCACGTGAGAGTCTGAATGGTGTCTGGTTCTCCTGAAAACCAATGTAAAATTACCCGTGCCCACAATGGTATATTATATAACTATATAGATTTATATTATGAACTAATGTGGGCTGATAAAATTGTTTATGTTCAGGTTAGATATTAACACAATTGAATGACGGCTCAATGGTCTAAAGATTAAGCGTTCACGTGCGAAACTGATAGGTCCTGGATTCGAATCCCGTGAGACAGGATCGTGGATGAGCTTTACTGATTAGTCCCACAATACATTGTAGTGTCTTTTATTATGTTAAGCTCAAATACCTTATTCTGGCTTTCGGACAGCCCATTCTATTCATTCTACTTGAGTCACATTCTAACCTTGTTAATTATTCGCTTATCAATCTTCACTTTTTTATATGAGCGCGTAGATGTGTGTACACTTCTTATCCCATTACTCATCACATGTCTGTAACTTCTTTTTGTGTAACTATAAATATTGATTAACGCTTAGTTAAAAGGGGAGTTGGCTTATCTTCAATCACCACTGCGCGTCGTTTCGCTTCGTTCTCTTTCATTCGCTTCATATACAAAATATATCTATTCAAAAGTCCATTCTCGTTATTTGACTTATTTAATTCCGTTATTAACTAACACGATCTAAGTCGATGATTATATACAAGAATAGGTGACATATATATTTCAATAACAATCATTCATACGATCAATTTGGAGTCAGATCTCGGGTCACTAAAGTGAAGAGCTCTTCGACAACATCGTCCAATCTAAATGACAACAAAATAAAAGGCCCCACAAAAAAATGATGAGGCCGCTGCCGTAGACGAACTCAATGGGCTCCACAAAAACATCTATAGATTATTAAATTACATGATATTATAATGAATTTGTAATTTACTTGATAATTGTCTCAAAAAGTATCATAAGTATAACATTGACTTACATGTAATGATGACATAGAGGGAATGGATAATGAAGATGATGATGATGATGCTGATGATGCTGCTGCTGATGAGGATGATGATGATGATAATGTTGTAGATGAAGTCAATGATCTTGTACATTCATCAATGTTTGATATCATATTTATATTATATTGATTTATATCTTTATTCAAATGTTTATTTAATATACTATCTATATCAGATTGTATCCAATTAATAGACCATAAATTAGGCCAAAATAACATTGTAAGAAAATGAATGAATGATTGTATATGACAATTATTATTTATATGAAATTGATTTATACTACTTTCATTGTTTATTAAATGATTATCAGTAGTTTGATTCAGTTTAACACTTTCTTGTCTATTTGAATATTCATATGATAATGAATTATTATTAGTATTATTAGTATTAGTAGTATTAGTATTAGTAGTATTATTAGTATTATTGGTGTATATAAGATCAGAATTTGTACTTATATCATGTAATTGAATGCTATTGTTATGGGTACTATTTAAGTATTGGTATTTACATGAGGTATTCTCATTTTCATTAAATGAAACTGATTTCTTAATGTTATTATCATTATGAGTAATAGTATTACTACTATTATTACTATTACTACTACTACTGCTGATGCTACTACTACTACTACTACTACTACTACTACTTGTGTTTAGGTTAATAGTAGTATCATCCTCCTGAATGATTGATTTTGTTGTTGTAATATGATGATAAAGAATATGTATAAGACATTGAATTTGATCAGTAAATGTTTCTTCACATCCATGACAACGATAATAAGTTATAATATGTTGATTTTGTAAATGAATCTAAAAATGTTCAAGGAAATAAGCATAAAAATTTGATCTGATTAGAAAAAAAAAATAGGATCAAGTTCAATTATAATGGTGGCTTCTTTGAATATCTGACTAACTTGTTCCTGACATCGATCTAGATATTCAAACACGTTATCTAATTTTGTTTGTTTGTTTTAATACATCATTATTGGCTATTGATCGCATAACCTCTTCAGATGCGTTTCTGTAAAGTATACAACCTTTGGCTGCAGAAGCTACAAAAAGCCTAATCAGAGATATTATGGTTACTGATATTATGCTGAGAAAAGAATATACATTATTCAGTTGTCGATTGCCTGAATTACTAACTTGTAACTGGTGATCATTCAATATGTTATCATCAGGATCGATCAAGAAGTAAGAAATGTGGAACTTGTTAAAATACTTTGTGCTGACAATTTAGCGTTTTTCTGGTTAGTGATTTTTTTAGCGAGTAAGTTCTCTACGAGATGCAGTGGCTAACCACATGCTCAAATCTCCTCCTTTACCCGCGCTTAGGATCGACAGTAACACTAGAAGTGTTACGTTGGGAAATAGAAGTAGATATGGAAACGATAAATAACAACTGGAAAAATGCTGGTTAGGATTGTGCAAGACATGATTGGATGGAGAGTGCTGACGGATGGCTTATGCTCCTCCACGAACAGTAACAGGCGTAAGTAAGTAACTAAAAAAATTTAATATTAAATAAAGCTAATAATAATAGTATATAATCCCCCAAATACCCTGGTACGGTCAAGACTGGCGAGAGTCCACTCTCCCTCTCGAAATGCTCTCACATGGTTACGTGTATATAGCCTCTGCCAAGGAATTCCTAATGACTGAATTCTCGTGGCGGGGTGTTGTTCACGAAAGTGAGAGAATGAAAAGCGAATGTTCGGCGCTTTAACTGGATCCCAAAAGAATAGTGCACATGGGCTAGCTCCAGTATCCTGAAGGAACAAATGGCGTATGAACCAATCGTTGGTCACCGGCTACCATAGGACTGCATCTACTTACGATGTTCCACTGCCTTGTGGGTCAGACGTTCAGGTCGAAGGCTCGGGGTGTAGCCCCCTAAGAAAACCACCTACTTCGGTTTGGGCACCCGGTCAGTATCACAGCCCTCACACATATCCAATGAGATCTGTGTGGCGCATATGTATTTGGTGCCTCCTTGTACCAATATCTATGTGTTAAAATAAATAAATAAGTCATCTTCAGAAAGTCCTGAAGTTAAGTTCTATTCACGTTGACAAAGTGAAATCAGAGAACTATATCGATTATCGTTAACTGTACATATTTTGCTTCGATTCTAAATGAACTAGACTGATATTGATATGATGAATGTCCTTGAATTAATCCAACTTACTCACTAAGTTAAATGTTATCAAATTAGCAACTAGACAATAAAGAAAACAGAGAAATGGCATTTTCATTTCAAATCCACATATTACCTTCCAAATTGGTGAAAAGGTTGGATATAAGATGTTAACTTCTGTGGTCATTCTTACATATTTATACAAAAGAATTAATTCAGTATGATATTTTATGGATAATGAGTAAAGAAAAATAATTTACAATTGATTGACGGCTTAGACATTACCACTGAGCTATTCGCTCCGCGATCAACCTTTTGTGGGTTTGAGATGTATTCACCATTGATTGACTGTGAAGCTGTGTAACACGAGAACGAATCTGTCAGGGAGCATCAGTTCACTCAAGATTTCAGGTACACCTTGCTAATAAGTGTCAAGTAGTAGGAAACCTAGGTCCAGGGTTCCCTGTTGACTACGTTCAACCACCATCTTATCTCAACATAATGCATAATGTTTTCACTTGACAACAGATATGAAACACGCGTTTATGAATCCAACTATTGATATTTTAACTGAGACCCATATCTAGTTTTTGTTCTCTAAGTTATTAAAGCACAATAGTAATAACACTTAGCTGTAAAGTCTAAACAGAATAAAATACCCTTTCTGGATTTCACTACTAGCTAATGTGTAAGGTGTAATCAAAATGTAAGTACTGATAAGAATATATAGTATCTATTCTAGGAATTTGTATGTCAATAGGCACTAATTAAATGTAACTCCAAATGTAAAAGAAAATGAGGAAAAATAGACTATATAAGCAATATCAATGATTACAAACGTTAAAGTTGATGGCTATAATGAATGAATGACTAATTTAATCAAATACTCTCATTTTATCAGAAGGGGTTTTGTGGAGATTTTTTTTAGAAATTTCACTCATTGAAATCATGAGTCTATTGAAGCTAGACCACCATGGAAAACCTGGAAGCACTGGGCGGCCGTTTCGTTCTAGTATAAGACTCCTCCTTGGCAGTGCACATCCACAATCCAGCCCCACCCCCCTCGAGATTCGAACCTAGGACCTATCAATCTCGCGCGCGAACGCTTAACCATTAAGACCACTAAGCTGCCATTTCAACTCTCGTTTTAAGTAATGATTACATAATTTAAACTTCAATATACATATCTATACTAGTATAATGTAGAATTTGATAGATCAGGCTTAAGTCAAATAAGCATTTGTTATACATTACATTGTAATGAACAAGAACAAAAATGAGAACAATCAAAAATCTAAGAACCATACAGTAAATCATCACTGACTTCATTTTTTCCCTTTTGTTTCCACCTAAATTATTCTTTAATTCTCATTCTCTTCTCTTAGATCTTCTTAAATTTCTACAGTCCAAAGTATTACTTTCGATCAATGATATATATATATATATATATATATATATATATATATATATACTACTTATATTTATCAATATCAATACTATACACCATAATATCATCAATCACAATTCAATACATTAAAAAGAAAAAAAAAGAAAAAAAAGAGAGAAAAAAAGAGAGAAAATAATAATAATAAAACATACCATTAAATCAATAAATTGATTAAAATTCAATAAATTATTACATATATTACATAATAATTTATAATTATTCAAATCATAAATTGATTGATTGAAATGATTATTATTTAATATAGAAGTATTTTCATGATTCAATTGATCATTGAATATAGTTTGAATGGATTTATATAAAAATTTATTTGAATGAAATAAATCAAAATTTGATTGATTAAAATGTATAGACATATGTTGTACAAACATATTAAAATTAATTGTTTCCATATGACATATTGAACAAATAAATATATTTGAATTAATAGATGAATGCAATAATTGATTCAATTGTTGTTGTTGTTGTTGATGGTGGTGGTCGTCGTCGTGGTTGCCATGGTGATGTTGTTGTTGGTGGTGGTGGTGGTGGCCGTGGTCGTTGCCGTGGCGATGTAATTGTTGCTGATCATGTTGGTGGTAGTGGTGGTGGTCGTGGTGTTGTTGTTGTTGTTGCTGGTGATGATGATGATGATGATTAGATTTTTGTTTATATAAATATGATTTAGTTTTATGAATTTTTTTAAATTTTCCATGTTTTTTTATTTTTATTTTTTTTGTTTTATTTAATTTATTATAAAGACATAAATCTAATGGTATATTAGTTCCTGAATGTCTAGAAGAAATTTCATCATTTTTATGTAAATTATACATTTTTTTTTTGTTTTTCTATTTAAAAAAAAAGGAAAAGAAAAAAAAACAGGAAGAAATCAAATAACCGAAAAAGAAACTTGATTGTAATACTCACAACAAGAGTACGAAGAATCTGTAGTCCTGAAGTCGTAGATGAAGAATTGGGCCTTTTAAAAGAGATACTTATCAACAACAAAAAAAAACGGGTATCCTTCGATAATCATTGATAAGAACATGAGGCCGAGAATGCTAAAAACGCAAATCATTACAGTAGAAAAGAATACTCTATACATGAACATCGACTTTAAAGGTGATAGAGCCAGATATATCTTAAAGAGGAGAATTTCTGATTCCTTAAAAAGAACATTCCCCACAGCAACATTGAGAATATTATTCTCCAGCCGATTATTGTTTACCAATAATCTGAAAGATAAATTATCGCATCTGACCAACTTAATGTGCATTTACCGATTTACCTGTTCATATAGAGCTAGATGTATAGGTCGTTTGATGCGTACTTTATCCAAAATAATTCAAGAATATTGTCCGGCTTGGCTAAAAAGAGGAGGCAACGGCTTAATAAGAAATTCTATAATCGAACACCTTGTGAACACAGGTCACTCAATCAAGACAGACTCTGCGTTCAAAGTCATCTACAAGGTAAGTAGAAGTCTTCCTAAGGCAATTAGGCTGAATCTTTTTTGCATTGCCGAAGCAATAACCATACATCTGGAAAACATCAGAATTATGTGTGCAAAAGAGACTGGTACAACCTCTTCTTCTACCATGGTTTTAATGTATTAAAATTTTTATCTTGTTCCTTTACAGCCATCTGCTTCACCTTCCATCTTCCCCATAAATTTTCTACCCCCAACTGGTATGTTTTGTTTTTATTTCCGTGATCATTCCGAATACATTTCATTCTAGGGAGCCATTCTTTCCCAAATGATAATTTTCCCAATCTATCTTTTGATGAATATTTAAGCCATTAACAATTAAACGATTATTAAACTTTTGATACAGTTTTGTTCTCTGAGCTGGATGGTTTGGTCGTGGAGTTTTCATCATTCTTCTGAACGACATCATCCGCAGCACAAACTTCAGATAGAAGTGAAAATTATGCACAAACATAGAAACAAGAATCAGACCAATAGGAGATACAACCAAACACAAAGAAGTAAACAATGACAAATTTAATGTCAATAAGAACCAATCAACATCGAGGTGTACAGAACAAGCTGTGAAACACATATGAAGAAATTCGAACACTTCACTTCTATCTGAAGTTTGTGCTGCGGAAGATGTCGTTCAGAGGAACGATGAAAGCTCCACAATTAAACAATTCAGCCCAGAAAACAAAACTCCATCAAAATCATTCACCTGAGCTACAAATCTCCACCATCTCAAGATTATTAAACTTTCCTTGTTTAATACCTTTGTTTATTTAACCTCCCTGTCACCATGTATAACAGAAGTTTATTATCAGTATTATTATCATCCTGTAAAGATAAGTATATATATTTGCGATTGTACAGCTTTGAAAATGAATTCACCGAAAAGAGAACTCTTCGCTGAACTAATCTTTCTAATTTAATGTTTCAATGGGTGTATTCCGTTTAGTGAAATATTCATCATTTGTATTCATGTATTCATTCACTTATCCTTTTAAGGGGATTAAATGATATGTAGTACTGGAAACATAGAGAACTATTAAAACCATCATTAACAAGGTACAAGTATTTATAAATAGTTGTCTACACATGATACTTAACATCTAATGACCGAATATCATCAGCAACAGCCTAATGTAGGAGAGGACAAAACAGATTCCAGCTAAAGAGAGAATAAGGAAAAGACGTTGAAAGTGGATAGGACACATATTGAGGAAATCATCAAACTGTATCACGAAGCAAGAGCTAACTTGAAATCCCGATGGGAAGAGGAAAAGAGGAAGAAGACATGAAGAGGATGAATAACAACTGGAAAGGATTGCTGAGGATAGGGTTAAATGGAGAATGCTGGTGAGTGACCTATGCTCCTCGACGAGGGGTAACAAGTGTTAGTAAGTAAGTAAGTAAGTAAGGTTTAACTTCCATTCTTCTTGCCTATTCTACTCATTACATATCTGTAGCTTATTTTTGTGTGACTATACATATCGATTAATGTTTAATTAAACCGGCTTAGCTTACATGTCTTCTTCACTGTATGTCATTTCGTTTTACCCTCTCTTCTTCGCTTCCTTAGCCATGTCTTTCTGACCGTCTTTTCCAATCAACGGTTGTATGAAATATATATTTTGGGAAATCCACTCTCATATTTGACTTATTTTAATTCCATTATACATTAACATGCATTAAGTCGACAATCAATCATACAATACTGCTGGAGTTAGATTCAAAGTCATAAAAGATATTTGTAAATATGAAATTCAGTTTTATATGAATGATTCACTAATTGAACAGGTTTAAATTCTTATGAAAATATAGATTCTATCAAGATTAAAAGTATACTTTAGTAAAATATTGATGTTATCAAGATACATGGTTCCATAGTATTAGGTAATAAGTGTTACTGAACTCATATTTGATTACTTTATAATATGAAGTACTCTCATCAAGAGTTATCAAAAGTCCTCTCCAAATGCAATCAAATACATATGGTCACTTATAGGTAAGTTCTAATCACTGCATTCTTGTGGTATTATTATTGTTGTTTACGAAATTCAGAGGACGAAAAGCGAATGTTTACCACTTTAACTGGGCTGGTGAACACTGAAGAACTATCTTGGGGATGGGTTGAAGAACCCTGATTCCAAAGCAATGGTGCACATGGTCTGCAGGATCCTGAGGAAATAAATAGTGTATGAATCAATCGTTCTTCACTGGCTACTATGGGACTCCATCTTTTTACATTGCTCCACTGTCTTGTGGATTAGACCTTTAAATCAAAGACTCGCGGTGTGGTCCCCTAAGAAAAGCATTTGATTCAGGTTGAGCAACCAGGCAGTATCTTAGCCCTCATACAAATCGAATGATTTATGTGGCGCTTATGTATTCGGTACGTCTAAATCATAATAATAATACTCAACCTTGTAAAACAGTCCTATAAATATACTTCTTTATAGATTTTTGAAACACTCTAAAGAATGAATCATCCTACATTATTTCAACGATTAAACAGTGTCAAGAAACTACACTTCATTCTATAACAATGTGATATGGAGAAACAATTAAACTGTGATGAATTCCACATAAGTGTCTTACTTAAATCTAGTTCAGATATTCTTTTATTAATATTCATCTTCATATGTTTAACAAGTCGAACATTTCTCACTAAACACTTACATAAATAGAATATTAGACATTTTAACAAATCATATGCATTCTACTTAATAGAAACAACAAGAATATTTCATTTGCAAAAGTAATAACGATCAAACGTCTAAAACCACGATGTGCAATGCTAATCGATGTTGCGGATGGTTGAAAGAAAGTTAAGGGCAGCCAAACTAAAACGTGGTATCAGTGCTTGAAGACACTAACTTCTGGTCTGAGCCATGTTCGTAGATGCAGACTGCCTGGTTGTGGTCCGCGTGACTATTATAACCAATGGTTGGAGACTCTTGGTGACATGGATCAGAATCTATCACAATGACGTAGGTGTATACACTCTCTGTCTTCCCTTAAACTAAGAGATTAAAATCACTTCATATCTTTCTTTCTACGAACTAATTCTTTCTTTCTGTACTATCTCCTTATATACAATCTTTCCTTTATATATTACCACCATTGACTTAACCACTATTATGAATCCGGTGTTCATCTTGATGTGCTAATGAGGTAAGGCAACTTGGACCGATGTATTTATGTGCCTGGTCCTACGTTGTAGCTGACTGACTGATGTATATAAAAAGAGGCAGTAATCAATCTTTCTTTGCCCTGGTAACATTATATCCCCTTTTTTTTATATATTAAGTTATTCAATATTTTAACTCTTTCTGAAGTTTAAATTACATCATTGTCACTTTTTTTCAATTCATATCTTTCTTTATTACGAATAATCTATTTACAATAGTTGAGATCATGAATCAATTGAAGGTAAACCACCATTGAAAACCTGAAATCACTAGACGGCTATTTCATTCCATCGTGGGATTCATCAGCAGTGTGAATTCACGACCCCACCCCATGAGATTTGAACCAAGGACCTATCGGTCTCATAGACGAACGCTTAACCACTAGACCACTATTTTCAGTTACTTCATTACATAATCCTGTAATGTTCATTAACTCTATGAGTTTTAATCACTAGTTCAATGTTCTGGAACTTTCTCATCCAAACTTTGTTTATCCGGAACAAAAGCTTTTTTTATGATCTTATTAACTCTATTGGAATCTTCATTACATATTGTTATACATAATTATCTCTAGTCACCTTCGTATTTATCATAAGGATGTGAATATCTGGAATAATGTTGATTTTGAATGTTAAATAGATTGTAAATAAGTGATGAGAATTAAATAATCTTTGTTCTTGTTCTGTTTAAGAATATTTCAATTAAATAT